CATCAGAATTAGTAATTTGCCTATGAAATACAGAAACAGTGCTAAAGCCTGGATGATCATATCTCTTTTTCATGAGTAGATTCTTGAATTTGATCGCCAAGTCGGTTTGAAGTATCAGGGCCAACGTGTGCTTTTGCTCCTTGATAACTGCCCTAGCCATGATATTGGCAGTGTTACTCTCCGATTTACTAAGGTTTTATTTTTGCTACCAAACACAACCTCGAGGATTCAGCCCATAGATGCCGGTATCATTATGAGTTTCAAGAGAAATTATTGTCATCTTCATGTTCGGTAATTTTTCAGTAAAAAAAAAAAAAAAATATCTGAATGTTACACTAATTCGCTTTTTTTTTAAGTTGGATATTACAAGAAGTTGAAAATGGACAGCGTGCAGAAGATTTAAAAATGAATGTGTTACAAGCTATCCATTTTATTATTCAAGGGTGGGACGAAGTTAAAGCCAACACAATTCGTAATTGTTGGTATCAAACAAAGATTCTTTCTGCAGATACCAACTCTGATTTATGAAGTTCTTTAGAGAATTTTCGCCAAACCACTAACCCTGTTCTCAACGATATTGCCAATATACTTAATGCTCTTGACCTTCTCGATCCTATGCAAGTTGAAGAGTATTTGGCAATCCCTGAAGAAAATATCGTTTATGAAGTTCCCTCCAATGATCAAGTTATTACAGAGCTTGTTGAAACATTCAGAACAAACGAACCAACAAATATTGATTTGGAAGATGAAGACGATAGCTTTGAAGCCCCCATTGTTAGTGCCAACATGGCAATTGCAAGTTTGGAAACCATGCGTACGTTTTTGCTTCAGCAGGATTGTATAGAAGAATATGTTAATCTTGTAAGAAGGATTGAAAAATTTATCAAAAAGACAAAGGTTGGCCAAATGCAACAAAGCAGGATTGATCAATTTTTTGTGGAGGACAATTAAACAGATCATATTAAATGTTTCATATAATGTCCTAGAATTTTTTTTTTTCGCTTGTTATAAAAAAAAAAAAAAATTCTAATTTTATAAATTTCATTTTTTTTTTTACGCTTGTAATATCGATATGGTAAATAAAAATTTGGATACTGTATTGGGTATGTGCTGTACGTACGTACGTACGTACAGTACAATTACAAAATGACTTCATATCTCGCACTAAATAAAATTTTATTTTTATGAAGTCGTCTTACATCCTGTGCGAAATAATTTTTAGTAAGAGCAAATGATATATGATACCTATCTCTTAATAAAAAAAAAATGAAGACAAACAAAATTAAGTCGAAACCACAAACATACTTAAAAATAACAAAAATATCATTTCAATTATAAAGTCGTTTCAATTAACTAGTCACACTAAACCGGATAACTGGGTGCAAAAAATCACTATTTAATGATGGCATAACAACAACTAACCTTTCTATATAAAAAACTCTTTTTTATTAGTCCATTTTAAGATTATTTACGTGCGTGCATTTATAGGGGCACATATATATGCTTCGAGCTCTAAAATTTGTTGCACGTGCAAAATATAGAAGGTGCTTAAGTTCCAAGCTTGGGGCCGGGCTATGGTGTGCATATAGAAAGGGTGTGCACTTAAGAAGTGTGCACTTAGGGGGTGTAACTGTATATAGTATTTTATATATATAAAATTATCCCTTAAACTGTAGGCTTTTCTAAGCAAATTTGCCTGAAAAATTATTATAAATATAGTTATGATCTACTTTTTTTAAATTTTAATATATTTAAATAAAA